CAAGAAGCCCTGCCTACAGATGGAAATGGATGCAAATCACAGCTATATAAGTCAGCATCTAGCAAGTCTCTACTCTGCTGTAATGGATTTTCTCAGAAACTCATTACTGGGAAGTAATCATTTATTACGGACCCACTCTGGGCATGTAAGGGATGGAGGAAAGGAGCATAAAGCAAGACACAGCACACAGTAGTTAACTGCATGCCAGACACTATGCTAAGCCTCTGATACACTCTCAGTTAACCCTTATCACAACCTTGTAAGGAGGGTACAATTTTCCTATAATACAGATGAAGAAACTGAGGTTCAGAGTATTTAAGACAATATGCCCAAAGTCGTATGGCTAATAAGTGGCAAGAGTCGTACCTGAATCCAGGTCTGACTTCAAAAACTGTCCTCTAACAGTATACTGTCTAGATTGGGGGGAGGGAGCAAGTGGGGGACGGATGAGATTGATTTTCACATATTTGGAATTTGAGAATGTTGTGGAGTCATACATTCAAACATAGGGATTGGGAAGCCGCTTCAAGTGACTGTCTGACCTTGGACAATTCACTGTTCCTTTCTAGGTTCTGGGTTTCTCCCTTAAATAGAAGAACCCTAAAGTCTAAAATCTGTGATGGACGCTGAAGAATTTTAAATTCCCTCCATCAAGACAAGAAGTCATTCATAAAAGTATTGGTGGAATATTTGAGCCATCTAATGAGCATTCCTGACCATATCTTCTCTAGCTAAAGAGATGGTCATCACTGAAAGAAAGCAGGTAGAAGAGAATGGCCATTTAGACTTGTTCCTACTTCCTGTGAAGAATGCAATGCTTCTCAATAGCTCCTCCCTCTGCCCAGGCTTCCTGTCACACTAAATACCTCTAAGAGGCTCAAGGATTTACAATACACCAAACCAAAGCTAATTTTTACAGTGAGTTTGACAAGAAATTGTTAATATAGAATAGAAGCAAGTCTAGCAGCCTAATTAGAAGACTGTCTTGTCTACAAATGAGGAACCACGAATGCTTAGGAGTTCAAAATCAATCCCAAATGAACTTGTTATAAGGGAGTCACAAGGCCAACGTGGAGATCAGAAAAATCACCATCACCACTTCAGATTAAACTATGGTGGTGAAATAGGATGAAGCAAAGTTTCAGGCACTAGAGAGAAGAAATGCGAAATGTTTCCACCATTCCCTTGAACACCTTCAGAAGGCCTGGGATCATTAATATGAAACAGGAGCACAATCACAGGGTAGTTATAAATAGGTAGTATTTCAAGATCAAGTATATTGTGGCATACAGAACAGGCCCAAATAATCATTGCCATAAAGTATTTCTCTATTTCTGATTTACTCTTCAACTGATTAAAACGTATATAATGGAAAGAAACCTTCAACAGCATTTAATGATTTGGAAACAAACAAAAAAATCTATCATATGAAATTAACCACAGCGTTTATAAAAGAACCCAAACACTTTAAAATAAATGGTGGGAAAACTGGAGTTAAGTTACATATTTGTACAGCTACATATTTTAATATTCAATATTTCAAAGTGCCTTTGATGTCCAAAGTCCACACAAACTACGGGGCTTTTTGGAAGCCGATGGTAAGTTCTGCTGCCAGGTGGCTTGTTCTGATTCTAAAGAGTGCCAAGAACATGGGCTATTTCAGCATTCAAATTCATAAAATTAAAGAGTACAACATAAAGAAACTCTTCAGAGTTTCAAGGGGATGCTCATCTCAGTGTCGGTATATCCCATAAGGAAATGAAAATGTATTTTAAAAACTGGATGTAACTAAAGGCCTCAAAACAACTATGATAAATTATCTTTTTCATGTCCTAATTTCTAATAAAAGAGAGAGGCATGGGGAACTATTTTATTTAAAAAACATAGAAGATAGGAAGCATCTACAATCGGTATTGATAACTTGGATAAAAACTTTATTCAATTAAGGGGCTGAAATGTTTTCCTTTCTTAAATTCTTATAGTATTTGGTGCCAGTACTATTTACCTGCCAGGTACATTACCTATTCCCAACTAGACTATAAGCTCTTCAGTGTCTTGAGGAGTCCTTTGTCTTGGGGTCTCATCTTAACTGGTGACAACTAGACTGATGAACTCTTCCAATAACCTAGTAGGAAACACACATCAGCTATGTTCTCTTTCCTTCATATCAGGGATCTGCAATCTTCAGGCATTTCAAATACTTATCCAACATGTTCAAAGGACTATGGCTTCAAGTTATAAGGCAAGATAAGACAGATGAATTAAACATAATTTGGGGGAAAATGGCCTATTAGTAAAATGCATGAAAATGGCAAGTCGATTTGAGTTACTTTCTTTAACAAGAGTGAAAAGAAACACTAGATTTTTAAAAAAAGAATAAGTTGTTGAAGATTGATTTTAACATGAAAAATAAATAGATACTACTCCTATTCTTGGTTGAGGAGAACAATGCCTTTTCTCTACATTTTTTACTTTTTGGGAAAAATGATTAATTCAGCCCAATTCCAAAAGAAGTAAAATTTTGAAGTTTTGTTTCAAAATTATACTCTTTAAGATTTAAAAAACAAAATTAAAGCCAAACGTAGGGTTTAAAAGACACAATTAAAACCATAACAAGCATCCAGGAAGCTGATGGATATTAATGCATCTAGAAGCCAGTCTAATGCAAAACTTTAGTTTACAGTGAAATATAAGTAAGTTGCACTCATACCATACGGCTACCAGATTCCTTTTAACACAGGACACACTCAATTTGCTGAATTAATGAATGGATGAATATATTTAGATTTGTCATGCTACCTTTTTTCTTCCTTTTTTATTAAACCAAACTGTTAACCCTTATAACTTTTTCTATAAATACCTTCTAAAGAAAAGAAAGATGACTAGCATTAAAAACAATTTATCATTTTAAAGCTTATGATTCTCTACTAAATACATTTAGAAGGTAACGGCATTTGGGTTGCTCTTTCCTTATTAATTTAAAATGATAGTCCATATAGAGGACCATAACAGCATATGGCCACGTTTATGCGATCATCTAAGGAGAATAATTCAGTTTCATAAAAAATGCAAATTTAACTACTTAGTGCATTAATTCATGCCAAACCTGCTCTCAAGACAACCACAAGAGACCTCCCACGTGAAATCAATATGCACACATCTATTTAACTTTTATCACTGGTTCACTAAGTAAATATCATGCTATAGACCACTTAGGTATTCATTATTCACAGGCAAACAGCAAACGTAAGAAGCAGGCTGGCAGTGTCAGGTCATTAACGAAATCTATCGATTACTGTTCCCCTGGTTTAGTCTGTTAAATGAGAGCAAAGATGTGCAACATCTGGAGAGCAAACTGCTAACCTGCTGCCAAGGTGCAGTCTGTTTACAGCAGACGACTCCATATTTACCCTGATTCTAAGACAATCTCCCAAGGAAACCTTAAGTTGCACTGTGTCTTCTCAGGGTTTAATAAGCATTGAAACAGATCCATCCCTTGATACTAATCCCTAGACACCAAAAGGCCTGAGATCCCCAAGCACCATGCTGGGAAATACAACTCTTTTCTCTCCCCACAGTGTCTAAGACTGAGGCAGAACTCAAACATATTTGAGTGCCTTACATGATATGGAACAAATTGTTTGATCCTCATAACTCCTTCTACTCCTTTCAAAGCAAAATTTTTAGAATTTATAGGGACCATGTATATTCCCAAACAGCTAATCTACTCAAAAGTCACCAAGTGTGGCCCCTGTTTTTGTAAAGAATTCACTTTTTTTTTTTTTTTTTTAAGTGTTAGCCCTGTTCAGCATCATATTCATGGCACCAAGATCCTGAGAATATCATCCCGTGGACATTAATTTCAGGACAATAGCTAGTCCGGTCTCAGGTTAGAGAGTCAACACATTGTTCTGTATCTGAGGCCACTCACCTATCTTGTCAATTAAGAGAATGAAAATGAAATGAAGAAAAGGAAGTTCAGTTGCTGGAATATACTTAAGCTTTATGATTGCTTCCTCGATTTGCACCACATGGTAAAACCTGCTGTTTACAAAGTGTCAGCAATAATAACAACAGATCTCAAAAAGTGTCATGCAGTTTTCCTCATTCACTTCAAAAACCAATAGCAAGAGACTCAAACCAAAGCCATACAAATTATGCTATTAATTATGAGAACTGAAGGCAATCGTGGGGCATGACAGATAAACGTTCTTCCCACAATCAGCCAAAGACAAAAAGATCCTTTCTTTGGGTCTTGATCTATGGGGAGATCATGACTGTTTTTTGATCTATGGGGAGAGTATATCTCTTGTCAAATGCAGAGTTAACATCAGCACACGTATCTCTTGTCAAATGCAGAGTTAACATCAGCACACGTGCGCATCCCCGCTGGAAGCAAGGTTGTGCTGGGTTTTAAACGAAACTGCACTGTGCTTACTTACCCTCCTGTCTTACTTTCTGGGTGCAAGGTTTAATTAATATTTCACCCCAGAAACAATCCACACAAGAAACAGCTTTATCAGGAGTAAAAGTCATAGCAGAAATCCACTCTTACTGTGAATAGCAGTTTTCTTAACACATTTCCCTTCTCTTCAGTGGGAATCTTATCCCCTCCTTCCCTCCAATGATGAATATGGAATCCATAAAATAACCCACAAAGAACATGAAAAATCCTGCTACATATTTAGGCCCTCACTTCCCCCTCTTCTCTAGGAAAAAGTTGGAAAGCATCCTCTTGTTATCATCTTGTCTCCTTCATAAGATGCTCTGTGCACACTTCTATTCCAGAGCACAAATTAAAGTAGGGCCCTTGTCACCTAGCAAACTGCACTGTTATTTCACGCCCATTACGTTTTTGTTTTTATCAGGCTGACAGATAAGGGCACACACAGCCAGGATGTTATAAACAAATTGCAACATGTGTGGTCTGCCACACCCCCAGTGCCCCAAAAGAAACCACACCCACTTCCCACTGACTCTGTGCTCTCCCCAGACCTTACCCTGCCCAAGAGGTTGTCCTGAAGCAGCGTCTGTTGCAGCAGTGGGGCCACCTCCTCCAAGCTCAACATGTGGCAAAGGTCGGTGAGTTCCTCCTGTCCCAGGGACCCGGTGCCCGTTGTGTCAAAACTGTCAAACAGCTCCTTGAGTCGGGCCTCATGCTGGTCCTGCTCCACCTCATCCATCCCATAGCCCACAGCGCTCACCTGTGCAGGGCAGGAGACAAGGACAGGTTGTGGCAGGCCAATCCTACTGCAGCCACCTCTCAGCACACTCACCCCTCACCCCGTCCCCTGCCAGCCCTTTGGGAGTGCTCTGTGTGCCCTGGTTCCCCTAGAGCCGGTTGATCGGGACCTTCATAAGGGTGAGCACAAAAGGTAATACTGCGCATCCCATAGTAAGTCCAAAGTCTGTCCCTCCTGGACCCAACCCTGGTCAGTGGAGCACCCCAAGTGCATTCACACCAGGGGCACGTCCACAAGGTCGAGTCACAAGTGAGAGCAGAGTTATCACAATGAGGGAGTCAGTGAGATGCTCTTTCCTTGAAGGCAGAAAGACACTCTCAGGAGGCTAGCCTTTAAAACTCAAGTCTCAGAGTGGTTCTCTCTCTCAGCTCAATCTGACCCAGGACTTAAAGAAACTGAAGAACAGTTTTTGACATCCAGTCCATTCAAATGAACTAACTGTTTGTGCCAATAGGCTGTGCTGCCAGAACTTCCACTCAAATCGGCAAGCTTCGGACAGCCTACCCAGATATCACAATCCGCCAGCTTGGTAGAAGTGTTCATTCCACTTCGTTCAGCCCAGACTAGATGTCCCCCATAACGGTTCCACGGAAAAGCTGCAGCAAGAGGCACTGGATAAGCACGTTTGATACAAAACTGCCTCCCTGTTTACGAGACCAAACACCTTTTACACAAGTTCCTCATAAAAGCAACTCAATTAGCTTCACTGGTGCAATTACATGAGGTGTAACAGGAAGAGTATTCCCTGAAGCTCACTTTAGTCCCAGGGAGTCCTAGGTAATGCTTAGTTGCCTAGAGAAAAGGGAAAACACTACTCCAACCTTCCAGACAGTGAGGCCAGAATGAGCCACAGATTGGCTAATATGAATTGCCTAGCATCACAGGGAACCTCCCCTATGCAGACCATCTCATCTCTTTATAACTGGTTAACCTGTCTTCCATCTCTCTGACCCACCCCAGCCCCAGGCCTTCCATTTTACCACCCTCCCTGGTATTAGTAACAACATGGAGTCATCAGTAACTCTCAGAATCATTTTTGCTAAGAGTATACATCATAAAATTCCAAGTACTTCAAGCTTTATTTTAAAAACAAAGTCTGTTTTTTTCTTTGCACAATATTTCATTTTTAATAGGCTGGATCTTCCAGTGAAAGCCTGAAACTTTACATCTGGAGGTACCTTTCACCATGATTCAATGGGTGCCAACAGCATATATACCCTTGAGATGGTGACTCAGTCATCTGACACAAGGCTCTCAGAACCAGCCCCTTAACTTACAAAAAGGAGCACCTTTAAATAAACCAAGATTTGGGTCAGAAATTCTCCAACTTAGGAATGCTGTTCCATACAGCAGATCATGACAATGTGGAAACATGTAAGTTACGATGCTGACATGGCCAGAACTGAAAATAAAAGAGCTTTCTGTAACAGAGATGCCCTAGGTGGCATTTTTCTCCCTGTAGACAACTGTTCAAAACATGATGAGCCAAAACAGAGCCATAACCTTCCCAAGGGCTTCAACAAAACTAGGTGCATTCAGAAGATGAATCCAAACAGCTCTGCCATGTAGCTCGATTTTTGCTGGGGCATTCATTAAAGTGAGTGGCACAGTTTTTGTGCAGGCTCCTTGTCTTGGACAGGTCGCCTCTCCACCTAATTATCAGCTTTTTTATTACTAAGGTGCTGCTGGCTCTGGCTGTCTTCCCAGGGTTGGTCTGTTGAGTTAACTAATCACCATGTAAATGTTTTCAAAATATGTTGAGAGTGCTACATAAACATGAAAGCATCAGAAAAGAAACACCAAGGTGTTAAGCAAAACCAGAGTTAGGAATTTGGACAAGGCCAAGGTTTGGCTAATGAGATTCACTTAGAGTTGCCAGTTAATCATCAACTAAGATCTGCGGAGACTCCAGGATGTGATGTTCAGCACTGCCACAGTGCTTAGACTCGCTCACTCTCCCTGAGTTTTATAGTCCACTGGGCTGTATAATCTGCCCAGTGTCATCAGAGCCAGACTTTCTGCTTTTGCTTGACTTTGCATACATTTTTTTAAAAACTCAAAACTGAAAGACTTCTAACACTTCCCTTTTTCTGAATTATTTTTAAGGGGCGAGGATTTTTCCATCTAAACCAATGAACGGGGTGATAAAATTCACAATGTACTGAGAAGTTCTGATCATATCCACTGCTTTGAATTTGTTAAACTATCACACATGCCTTTGGAAGGTCATTGGATTTTCATTAAAGCAAACCTCTTTCATTTTATAGCAGCTTTCCTTTTTGAACTCTTTATTTCCTCTCCCTCCTTCCCAAGATACTGTGCTTACGAAAACATTCTTTTGACTGAAGGGGAAAAAAGCCCCACCTCTGTGAAACATGCTCATACTGAAACATCCAGAAGACGTTACACGTGGTGACAAGCTGTCACTACTCATCTGGCACAGAATGCATGTCTACTGGTTGATATCAGTCTCCAAATGTTCATCAGTAATTTCATGTGCAAGAATTTTTTTCTTCTTACTTGGTGGAAATTTCTTTAAGGACAAGGTCTACATCTTCTATTTCTTTTATATCTCCCCCAAAATGCATAGTATACTCTGCTCTTCACACCAGGTACTCAGTAAACATCATGGACTGACTTAGTGTATGGACAGTCATTGAGACGAAACGGACCCTGAATAACAGCTATAGAAATGAGCATACGAAGATTTGGAAATGCCTGTTTCTTCCACACACACATACCTCCTGTTCTCCCACCCAGCCGTTTTTCAAAGGGACATTTTCAGTCTTAGACAAAATCAAGCAGAAGTAGAAAGCCAACACCGACTGCCTAACTGGCAGAGCTGTCTGAAGTTTAATTCAGTGAGTTAGTAATTAAGCCAATGGATTCACAAATTTCAGCTGCATTTTTGTTGTTGTTGTTGTTATGGGATGTAGCTTTGAAGGAGAATCCGTACTAAAACACTTTCCCCAACAAGTCCTCTGAGAACGGCTAATCCCAGAGAAAATTGATACATGAGACAAATTGAGAAAACAACCAATTAAATACCAGAGACTTACAAAGGAGGGGTAAACTGAAGAGGGGTAACTTAAAAGCATCAATCATCCATAGATCTACCTTAGAAACAAAGCAGATGTGGAACGCCGGTGAGAATGGGCAGGGAATACACTATGTCTATAAAAAATAATATTATATTCTTAAGTAATAATAGCAACAATTAATGTTCAGTACTTCCTAGATCTTTAAAAGCAAATTATTGATAAATTTAACATCAAACAAAAGCAGAAAGACTGAAATGTTGTTGGGAGTTCAGAAAAAACCATCTTCTTCACATCTGAGTGTTTACTGTGAGTCTGGCCTATGCTAAGTACCTTACATATATTATATCATTTAAATCCTCCCAAGTCTTTGAAGTAGATATTATCATATTACCATTTAAGATGTAGAAATTGGGGCTTAGCAAAGTGAAGCAACTTATCCAAGGATATAGTTCTAATATAGGGTGCAGAGCTGAGATTTGAATTGTGGTCTGTTTGACTCTAAATTATACTATTCCCAATCCTATGCATGAACACAGAACACACAAATGTGACTACTGAGATTACATCATCAGCAAATTACTTCTATCCACCTTTGTGTGTTAGCTGGTTTAACAGCACCAACTACCAGAAACCACCATGGCCTCAAACTCCTCCAAATTGGAATGGGGAGAGCTAGAGGGAAGGCTCATTTTCCTGTGTACCTTTCTTCCTCCCTAGATTCATTTATTGAATAATTATCACCAACAGGGCACTACCACCACTCGTCTGTCAGTTTGTCATACTGTGGTGGCTTGCGTGTTGCTATGATGCTGGAAGCTATGCCACTGTTATTTCAAATACCAGCAGGGTCACCCATGGTGGACAGGTTTCAGCAGAGCCTCCAGACGAAGACAGACTAGGAATAAGGATCTGGTGGTCTACTTCTGAAAAAACTGGCCAGTGAAAACCTTATGATAGCAGTGGGACATTGTCTGATACAGGGCTGTAAGAGGAGCCCTCAGGTTAAAAGGCACTCAAAATACAACTACGAAATAGCTGCCTCCTCAAAGGAGAGTCGACCTTAATGATGTGAAGGAGTAAAGGTTTCAGGACCTTCATTCGCTTATATGGTATGATTCAAAATGAGAAGAAACAGCTGCAAATATCCATTAATAATCAGAACACAGAATGTATGAAGTATTAATCAAGGAAAACTGGAAGTTGTCAAAAATGAAATGGAACTCCTAGAGATCAATATCCTAGGCATTAGTGAGCTGAAATGGACTGGTACTGACCATTTTGAATCAGACTATATAATAATCTGGTCTACTATGCCAGAATGACATATTGAAGAGGAACAGCATCGCATTCATCATCGAAAAGAACATTTCAAGATACATCCTGAAAAACAACGCTGTCAGTGATAGGATAATATCCATATGCTTACAAGGAAGACCAGTTAATACGACTATTATTCAAACTTACATACCAAGCACTAATGCCAAAGATGAAGGAATTGAAGATTTTTAACAACTTCTGCAGTCTGAAATTGATCAAACATGCAATAAAGACACATAGATAATTACTAGTGATTGGGATGGGAAAGTTGGAAACAAAGAAGGACTGGTAGTTGGAAAATATAGCCTTGGTGACAGATATGATTCCGGAGATCTCATGATAGAATTTTGCAAGAGCACTGACTTTTTCATTGCAAATACCTTTTTTCAACAACAAAAACAGTGACTATACATGTGGACCTCACCAGATGGAATACACAAGAATCAAATTGACTACATTTGTGGAAAGAGATGATGGAGAAGCTCAATATCATCCGTCAGAACAAGGCCAGGGGCCGACTATGGAACAGACTATCAATTGCTTGTATGCAAGTTCAAGGTGAAACTGAAGAAAATTAAAACAAGTCCATAAGAGTCAAAGTGT